CATCTCCAGAAAAAAAAAGATTTGCCCAAAGGGTAAAATAATAACAGCATTTTAATCATTCATTGTGAATAATGGTTACATAGTCATAATAATGTAACCATTAAGTATTGATCCAAATTTTGATATAACTATCAGGTTGGCCAAAAAGCCTGCTTAGTTTTTTCTGTAAAATAAAAGATACATTTTTCATTTGCACCAATAACTTCATTACTTTTGATATTCTGAGTGTGTCAGCTATCTCCTGCTATTGGCTTCTAGTGGGTAGAGGCCAGAGGTGCTGCTAAACATCTTCCAATGCATAAGACAGCCCCACAGCAAAGAACTATATGGCCAAAAGGTCAATAGTATCAAGAAACTTCATAAAACCGCTCTTCACATGTTCAATCAGTCACGGCACTTTCTCCATACACTGCACTAATCATTTTTTTGTTTCAGTTGTGTTTTTACTTTTCTTCAAGTAATAAAGCATAATATGCCAAAAATGTTGCATATTTTCTTCCATCTTCAATATTATAATGGCTGCATAAAAATTCACCAATTTTGAGTTTTTTTAAATGCATGCTGATTATGACAGCTGTCACATATAATCTAAAAAATTGTTTCAAATGAAGTTAAAGATAACTACACACTACTAGAGCCATAATACAGAAAAAAACTAAATGAACTTTCTGGCCATCCCAATATATGGAGAGAAAGAAGAACTGGGAAGTGAGAGTGTCCGTGTTTGTGTTGGGGATGAGGAGTTGGGTAACAGACAGCTAAGTTCTCATCTTCTGCAATAAGAAGTCAATAGACAATGCCTAAAACTAAAAAACTAAGAAGTTCCATTGCTATTTAGGTATCTGGTGTTGATACTAAATAATAAAATGAAAGAGCTGAAAGTACTTGCCGTACAGGAGGAGGAAACTGAAGCCTGTGTACAGTGAAGGGGAAAGAAAGGTGCAGGAACTTAAAGTTTGAGGGACAAACCCTGCAGAAACCTCGGCTTTCAGCCACGGGCATGTATCATTTTGGTAACAACCAATAGGAAAGGAAGGATGAAAGAAGGGAGAGAGGGAAGGAGTGAGGAAGGGAAAAAGGGAGAAGAGGAAAAAATTAGAGACATAGTTGAGATAAAAGTGAGAGGCAGCCTAACTGATCAGATGTGGTTTTCGTAGAAAATAAAAAACTAAAGTCTAAAACATTTTTAAAAAACTGTAAGACTTAAATGAATATAAAGTAGGTTTATGTGTCTCTTTGCTCTCAATTGTATATTCAACTGCCAAATGGCAGCATGGAAAGAGAAAGTTCTCAAGCTCTCTCCCCAGATCTCCTTCCTTCCATCATTTATCAGTGATGAGACATTTGCGTACCCGTTTTGTTCCCCGTCCCTAACATTCTAAGCAGGCTCTCCATTCTCTATTATGCCAGGCCACCACCAGCTTTCCAAACTGATCTGCTTGCATCCTATCCATTCTCTGTCATGGAGGCAGAGTGATCTTTCTAAACTTCAAAGCCAATCAGACCACTTTCTTACTTAAAACTCTTCAATGGTGTGCATAGCTTTGTAATAGGCTTTGATCTCCTTCACCTGGTAGTAAGACCTCAAGATCTGACCTCTAATGACCTCTTGAATTTCATTTTCTAACATTCCCAGGAATGGCTTTCCCATCGCATCCATCTCCAAGTTCTGGCCAGCCACATTGAGATCCTTTGCTGGTCTTGAAGCCCAGGCTGCTCCCACCTCTGAGCCTCTGTTTGCTGTGCCCTTTATTCTAAAAATTCTTAAACTAAAATGATATGCAAAATTATGTGTGAGTGTATGTGTCTATGTATGTATACAAGAAAGCATATGCATAAAAACTTGCAAATGATTTTGACAGTATTTATAAGTCCCCTGAACACCAATTTTAGACCTCACTTTAAGAACCCCTTCCTTACGGTATAAGCAAGTTTATAGCTGATATCAAAAAGTTCCCAAACATATTATTCACTTTTCTGCACACAAAGCATATATGAGTTACTAATATAATAGTCAATATTAATTATCAGTACCAACTATCTTCTATGTCACTGGACTGTTCTCCATTGATCTTCTTCCCAAAGAAAGTTAGTTAAATCATTAACTAAGGATGCTGTCCCTGAGAAGGGGTCACTCTAGTGAAAAGCATCCCTTCACTGTTTGGACAACAGCCAGAATGTGAATACTTTTGCCTTATAAGAATGTCTGAGCATGTTGTTACAAAAAAAAATTGGATGATATTAGATGAACAGCTGTGCAGAAAGGGGAATGTAAAAATAAAAACTGCACGTTGGAGCATCAAAATAGTAACCATGTACAGTACATGACTGTTTTTAATCAGATGAAGATTGAAGCTATTACATTTCAAATCAAATGTTATAAATTAGTTCAAGAATGCAGCTGAGCTCTCATTTAATTAGAAATGTCCATGTTTAAATCATGAGGTACAGTAGCTGCCAATGAAGCAAAAGGGCGAGGGAAGGGAGAAATACTTGCGTCCAGACCCTGCGATCATCGACTGTCTCCTCTGCAGGACGAACATCTGGGGTGGACTAGTCCTGATGTAATGAAGAACTTCATGTACTAGCTAATTTGAGATTTAATGTAATTGAACATAATTGTTTTGAAGACAATTAAAATCATTATTCTGGTCTGGACAATTCTGAACTCTTCATTTTTGTGTGAGACATATTTTTCTTCCATGTTGAATTTTAACTCTTTCTGGGATAAAAAGTGAAGCAACTGTTGGGCCAAGATTCTGCTGGGAAGCAATCCTTGGATTGTCAGGTCATATTAAAATGCAGCACCACAGTGAGGTTCTCCTTTGGAAACAAGTCTCGTTTCCTATTCCTAGTGCTTGATGTAGCTCAGCCAGAGTCCAAATCTACATCCCAAATGTTAGACAATTCGCTGTTAAATAAAAATGGAGCAACATCATAGAGGGATTTCTGAGGTCATACAGAAAAGAATGCAATTATCCTAAGGCGGACTTTTCCCCAAAGGTTATGAGCCTCTGCATGTCGTAATTAACCGTGGTGCAGCGAGACAGTCCAGGCAAAAGGTCTTTCTTTTCTCCCAATTTGCCTAATTCAAAAACACCTCAAGTGACATAGCTCAAATTTTCCAAATTAAACTTACCCCTGGGGCTGAAATCAAGCATGTGACAGTTCAGTTCTAAAGAAAATCTTAAAGAGAGTCGTGCATAGGGAAAAAAAGGGGGAAAAGTCAGAGGAAAAAGGGTTAGAAGTTAACATTTAAGTGGTTTTTCAACCTCATCATTACCCCTGCTCAAGAAAATAAGACACAGATGGGCAAAACATACCATCGTTCTGCCCTGAAGAGTAGAAGGAACTCATTAGAAACGACTGTTGTTTCCTCCTGGCCCATCCTGCATTGGTAAAGGACAAAATGATTGATTCGCTACATCCCACAGCAGTTAGGACCCCGTGGTGTCAGGAGGTGGAAGGATGAGTCACAAAGACACGATGTGCAACCTGCGAAAGCTTCTTGTTGATACAAGTCTCCAAGGTCGACTTTTCCCAGGGAATTGAGGAGTGATGGCATGGTCACGAGCTGTCCTGGTCTGTGAGAATGGCTTCTATTAGGAGAGGCCACACCACCCCCAACTTTCTCTTACTTCTGGCCACAGCGCCACACTCTTCCACTCCAACATCAACGAGAGGACAAATGGGAATCAGGTCCACTGCTCCCAAACAAGGGTGGATTCCCTCCCGAACCTCCGTATCGATAGACTGGAAGGGCTCCGAGCAGGCAGCCAGAACAGCATTGCCTCAAAAAAGGTAACATTGTAAAAAACAATCATTAAACTTTCAAACACAGCTCAAGAAGCAGCTATATTTTATTGTCCCACTGGTTGTTTTTCTTTCGTAAACTGTATAGATTTTTCTTCAGCCATAATAAAGAATAAGAGATCTAACATTTCCTCTTGTCCCACCTCCCTACTGTCCTAAAGTTCCACATTTCTTCTGGCTCTTTAGTCCCGAAAGTGGAGGAATTATGCAATGTTTATTAGTCTTAAACACCTTTGTATTTTTTTTACAATTGGTTATTCTAAGCCTTTCCAATTTTATCAACTTAACTAGATAAAATTCCTTGTTATTTTCAGAATGTGTTATGAATTTATATTAAAAATATAAACAACCATAAAGTTTTAAAAGCATGAGTATTTCAGTTCTGCTCTTGTCCAGTAGATTTTTTGTTAAATTGTTTTATCTAAATACATAGTATAGACACCTCAGAGTTTTATGTTATTACTCTGGGATATTATTAGCAGTACAGTATGACCATTTTAACAAGAGAGATAAATAGCAAAGAAGCAAATTTGACATCTCCTGATTAACAACATTTAAGATACTCTGCCTTCTGTTTGTTGGGAGTTAACAGCAGCTCTTTGTTCTTCAAACAAACATACCTTTCAAAAAAAGGACAGTCTGCTGAGTTAAAATAAAGTTTATTTAAAAAATTTTTAAACCATTTACTAAGTTTTTGTTTAAACAACTATGATCCTTCAAATTCAAGTTGTCCCGCTAAACCTTGCGACATAGACATGGAGCCCATTTCACTTCAACCCATGAACCAACTCGAGACTCTGGGCTCCCAACAGAAAACACAGCTGCTTAGCACGTTTCATCCTATGCCGACCTGCTGCCGAAATCAAGGCTGCCTTCAACACCACTGCTCCGCAAGTGAAAACCTGCAGACGCTGTTCTTAACCACAAAGGTATCCGATCATTCTGGGAAAGAATGGTACTGACTGGACCCCAAGGTTTATTAACTCTTGGACCCCAAGAAGAGGCAATGGGAAATGTTAGAGATGTGTATGTTCAGAAAAATGATAAATATCGTTTTGAGGTAGACTCTCCATATAATGGATTATTCAGATTTGAAGAGTAAATCAATGATTAAAGAACATTCAGGTCTATCTGAAACCTACTCTTCTTCATAGACACATATGAGGAGAAAGAAACTGAAATCTCACCTAATTCATCAACAGAAGCTACTACTGTAATGACTGATCTGTTGTAGTCTTGATCAGAAAATATATTGAGTACTGATACTTCAGGATGTTTCCTCCCTATAAAAAAATATATATGTGTGTGTGTGTTTTTATTACATATATAATTTATGTATAAATTATATAGATTATATATATCTCATATATTATTGAATATATAATATATTTTATATGCTATTGAATTAAATATGACATATTACATATTAACATATTTTATGTTATATACATTATATATATATTAAATTCAATATAAAAATTCTGGGGTGTGACCTCTGAAGTGGCATTGGCTAATCATGAAATTCATGAGTAGCAATGTCCACTTCTTGCAGTATCTTTCTATATAAGTAGATGGTTCATCTCAGACAGTAGCCTTTGGTATCTCTTAACTCAGTCTAAGATGGTATCCTCTTCTTTCAACTGCCACATCATATCACTCTAAATTCTGTTCCTTATCAATCTCATCTTCTAGGCTTTATCAAGTTTTCCTTCCCAAACCCAGAATCAAACTGTCTGCATGTAAATCTGACATCTGGAAAAGCTAGGATAGGCCAATTAGTGCCTGAAGCAGAGGTTTCTGAGATGCATGCACCTGTCTATTAGAAACTGTTCTGATGCCACCATCTCCTTCTCAGGGGCCACCAACAGCCTTCAGATGTTAATGACTTCCAGCTTTCAGTGGCTTGTGACTCACTTGAATGTGCAACCTCAAGGAGAAAGCTGCCATGCCCTATGTGGCAGCCACACATAAACCCAAAGTTATTTTTGAAGTTTACAAGCCTGGTTCAGCCCCTTTAAAAGTCCCCCTTAAGCCTGCAAAAGCTAATTCAAAGTGAAGGACAAAAGTTTTCAGGCAGTAATTAAACCTTTCTCTATGCCATTATACCTTTGTCGCCCTGTCCCCTGGCAGCTTAACAATTAATCTTTTCAGAAGAGAGGAAAACTAAGTTCCACGCAGGAACTACAGAGCTTACGGCGGCCCTATGTTATTAACTTTAATAATATGAAAGGATAAACTATGTCACTTGCTCATAGCCAAATGAGCATCTATACAGACCTGCCCTGGTGCAGGTCTAGAATTTATAACTCGGGGTTCTTTACCTAAGACTCTTTAGACCATTTAAATGTTTTCACATTACTTAATTAGAAAAATTATAGGTGATGCGGTTTTATTCCACTTACTTAAAAATAAATGCCTTTAAAGTATTTGTAAAACAATAGGTCATTTTCTTAACCAGTGCTACCTTCCCTGCTTTTTCATAGCTATAAAAAATAAAGCAAGAACGAGATCATACAATCTCCTTTTAAATGTATTTTTCAACATACTCTAGCTCCTAGAAGAGATGATTTTATTTTTTTTATCCTAAATTTCTTCTGAAAAGCTTTTATTCTCAGTTTCATATGACCCAATTGAATCAAATGCTGAAAGAATGAAACACTTTCTCCTGCAATTTCTAAAGCAGGCACATAGAAAAAAATTACTGCTGGCAGGAGGAGCCGCCAGTCTGAATCTCAGCAGAAGTAAATTGTTTGGTATTTGTAATGGAGTATAATAGCTATAATTCCATTTGAGCTACTGCCACTAATAAGCTGATAAAAACTGTGAGTTGAGACCCAGGCGTCCATCAGTGTGTGGCTTCCCCAAATGTCTCTGCACATCCATTTAATCACAGAGACAGGTAACGCAATCCCATTACATGTACTGTGTCTGACAATGAGGGGCCCAAATGGGTTCTTCCCACAAAGAGAATGCAAAAAGCACAGCTGTATACTGACTCCAGAGGGTTTTTCTTATCAGCATTATCAGGAATTTTCATAGACATTTCTAGCTCCTGCAAAGTTGCAAGACAGTAGTTTAAATGTGCTCAATCGTTAGCTAAAGGAAACACTTCTTTCTCATGAAAAGCAATAACTAAATCAAAAATGACAATCAGAAATTAAAATCTACTGTCCAAAGTGCTTTGGGACTATGGTCCCAATGCTCACCTACTGCCAAAAAAAACTTCATTTAATATCAAGGCTTTCTATTTAAACAATATGAAGTCTGTAAATACACTGTGGCTTGTGTATGTGAGTAAAAACAAATGATGTCTAGAACTGTTTCATTACATGAACATTTCAACAAGGGTAAAGAAAAGGAAAGTACTCTCTCTCATAGTAAATACTGGCCCAGGGAGTATGGAGGCCTGAGTTCCAGTCTTCTGAATTGCTAAGTGATCTAACCCAAATCACTTAAATGCAATTGCCTAAGAGTCTTGACACAGAGAAAATGTAGTAGAAATAATAATGCCGTAATGATAGCATGGGCTTTGCTGGCAGGAGCGTTTTGAGAAGTAGTTGATGTATGGCAAGTTTATTTTTTATGTAACCTGCTGAATAAAAAGCATAATGCCCAGTTACGCCCACTCTATTAATGACCAAATAAACAGCCTATGAGGGGAATCTTTAACCTTCATGTAACTATACCCTCCTCAGGAGCCTGTCAATATCCTGAACAGTGGCTATTTCAGACAATCACTTTCCAATGTCAAGAACTGTATTGCTGAGCGCACATAGGCATTTGGAAAAGATCACATGAGCACATCTGTGTGACTGCACTACCTCAGTATCCCGGAGTCCTGCAGAAGCTGTAACAGCCCAAGAACACGGCGTAAACTATGAAGACAGGGAAGTGTTCTATGGATTCTGCCTGCAGAGTATAAAAATTACTATATTATCAAAACACTACATAGCTGTTGTTCCTACCATTTTTTCCAAGAAGAGCTGCTTTTGCTATGTTCTCAACAATGTGTTTTCTTCTGGCTTCTGAAATGTTTAGTAAACAGGCAGCCAAACGAAGCCCCAATCTGGAGGAAGACATGCTGATTTTTTCTAGAATAGGAGAAAAAGGAATCTTCATTTTGGCCTCCACAGTTCATTCATATTTTCATGTCTATTCACCATTAAAAAATCATGGCTCTTTGGAAACCAGTTAGTTATAATACTAACATGTCACTTTTCATTCCTAGGGAACATTTAAATGATAAAATCCTCAGACTGACTCATCAGGAAACTGTATAGGTGCCATGCACATCTGAACATTAACGACACTAGGAAACATCTTTCAAGTTATTGTTGACTGAATTCTGTGGTGTAAGTGAAACTTTTTCATTAAAATGTTATTGCCTTTGAAGCATAGTCGTCCTTAGTTGATCTTTGTTTTCCAGGTCTTTTCTATGTAATAAACAAGCATGATCCTTCTGTTAAATGAGACTTACTGGGGAAATGCAAAAAAACACAAGAAACAAAAGGGAGAATGAGGGAGATTATTTAACATGCTGATTCTTACAAAAACATTTTTTTCCTCTAGCAAGAAATAAAGGGACTCATTTGAGGGTTTTAAATGATAACTATTTGACTGAGTTCCTCTTCTTGCACTTTCATCTCCAAAGTTTCTAAATCAGTTTTAATCATTTCACAGGACTGTGTACCTTGAACTGAAAGTTGACCGTGTTCTCTGGTATGTTACTCCATAATGCCAAAAATGTGACTGATTCTTTCACTGAAAATGGATTAATTGCACACATTTTGGAGATTGCTTTGATTCTCTGTAGTACTGTAGAAAGGCATTTTTCAACTATTTTTCCTTACCTCAAATGATATGAATTGAACAAATTGAACTCAAAATACTGAAAGAATTCTCATCTTCAAGATCAGGCCATCATAGTTTGGCCTTTTAAATATGATACCTAAAAAATGAATGTAGCCTTCGTGAATTCGTTCAACAAATATTTGACAAAGTTCATTCTGTGTCAGGTAACGTTCTCCATGTGGGGGATCCTTCAGTGAACGGTGTGCAACTCTGAGACAAACATTAAGCTTCTGAGTTTAAGGAAATGTGCTGGTGGCAAATAACAGTGCACTGGACGCATAAGCCCACCAGCTTCCATTCACTGGGGTTACTGGCCTAATCATATTAATCTGGGAGTACGGGGCTCAGTTAGTTCAGGTTTTCGTATTGTGACATTGAAAATTCATAAAAATACGGTCATTCAGTTTTCCGAGACATTAATAATGTTATTGTAATAAAGCAGCTCAGACCTCGGGTTTTTTTGTAAACAAAAAATTGCTTTACACAAGGGGTGTGGGCGTCTTCTGGCTTTCATTTGTTTTCGGTGTGTTTATGTAGCTTAATTGTCTCATCAGGCACTTTCCCAACATAATTATGCTTTTTAACAAATGGTGTTTATGGCAACCCCTAACAATGCAAAAGAAAGGATTAGTTTCATCTTCTCATTCCACATTTTGATTCCCTGTGGACGGCTAAATCATACAAAGATGGTGTTAGGAAAATCTACCTTCACAGCAAAAAGTCAGCGGCACCACCAGGCTTATGGAGAGTATTAAGGCTTTGGTCAAAAAGGTAAGGATTTCACTCCCTCTAACAAAGTGACCGAAGACAAGATCTCCGCTGAATGCTTTTGGGGGGGTGGGATCCTAGACCGCCCACCCCTTCAAGCACCATTGCGTGACTTCCGGCATCAGACCTAAAACCAGCCTTGGGCCTGAGCCGAGTAGAGCAGTTCCCGATGGTTCTGCCAAATCGTCACCCGCCTGCACACGCACCACAGTTAACACTTTTAGGGTCGCACAGAGACTCCGACCGGCAGGAAGCCCGTGCTAGAGTTAGAACCAGCTGCTGGGCACTCCGCACCCCGGTTCCGGTGTGGCGAGTCTCAGGGCCACGTGGGCCAGACGGTAATCCGAGGGACTAGGCAAAGGCGCTTGCCCAACGTAATTATGTTGGTTAAGAGGATTCCCCAGCCGCCCCCACGGGGTCCGCGGGAGCAAGGACTAGACGTGAAGCCTGGGACCCAACTGGAACCTGTGGCTGCTCCACGGTTTAGGAGAACTGACCTGTGCGCAAGGAGGGGCGGCAGGATAACAGGGCACCGCGCCGGGCCGCTGCGCTTGACCTGCGCGCAGTTTTACGCCGCCAGCTCCGCCTCAGCTCTCTCCCCGCAGCCTTCTCTCCGCCACCCGGACCCTCAGTCTGGCACCGGCCACTACCCTACCGTGCTTGCGTTCCAGAAAGTTTAACGTTCTTTGCAGAGTCGACTCTTCCCTTCTGCTTTCATCTTCAGTTTTTTCTGTGAAAATAAATCAATGACTTTCTAAAAGGGCATTAGCATCCAGTGATGAGGTCACTACCAGTTGATCACACACCAGCAGGGGGCTCTTCTCTCTGCTTTACAGGCGCACGTGCACACGCACCCCTTTGGTGAACTCCCTCCTGAGAAATACTCCCGCGGGTGCTTGTAAATATGAACTGGACCCACCCCAGGACAACAGCAGTACTTGCACATGACCATGACCATTTAGTCAAAGTGACAACCAACATGAACCAAGCATTAAGCATTTCCCTTTTTTCTAGGCCAGTGAACTTCAAGAACACATTTCTCTTCCAAAAAATCAAGACCTGCTTTTTTTTATGTAGCAACGATTAAATGTCACCATTTTGATCCAATTTCGTTCCTGAACTGAAATAATCACTAAATAACTACTTTGACAGAATAAATTAATTTTTAAATCTATTTTTTATTTTCTAATTATACTTTTTAAACACAGACTTGAGGAAATTAACATTTATGTGGACATTTGGTTTCTAGCCTAATGTGGCATAAAAATAAGTAACATAATGAGTGTTAAAAAAAATCAAGTTCATGATGCTTCTCACATCATCATCATTGTACTTAGATGTCACAACAGTATTATGTGCGATTGTGTCAGATCCAGCCTTCCCCATCTCGGAGTGTTGGCAGGTAGGAGGGTTGTTGGCAAGAGGAGGGGTGTTAACCTCAGGATCCTGGATCCATTCCAAGGCTGGTAATTACATTCTGCCAGCCAAAATTCATCCCATAATTTTAATTGGATAAATCCTTTCTGGCCTAAGCTACTGCTATGCCTGTCAAACTGTTGCCACATTTCACCCCAGAGGTGTCTGTGTTTTAGTTGCAAGAATCAGTCCCTTTGAGGTTGGCTTATCAGTTTAAATCCTCAAGTGCTTTGGGATCCTATGGAATTAAATATATATTTAAGTGTTTTTTTTCCTACTGAATCTGCATAGAAATGTATAAAATAGATTTATAGTCATGTTAATGCCTAAAAACCAATAACCATCTAATGTCAGCAGATAACTTTGAGGGCTTTTTAATCAGATCGATGTTCTAATTTTCTCTTTCGTTTTGAGCGCTTTTATTACCTATTGCTTCAGCTTTCAATTTCCAAAAAGTACTTCAGTGCCCAAAGTTGACTTCCACAAAGGATGAAGGAACTGAAGACTCTGTATGCCATCTTTGCACACAATCCTATGACGGGACCACTTGCTAAAATGAAAGAGGAGTAGCATTACATCTGGTACTATAATATCCCTGCAAGAAAACATGTGACAACTCAAGGCTTCCTGCTTCTAGCTGTAGCCAACGCCAGAACTAAGGCTTCTTCCCCGCTTCTCCCTTACAGGGCAGACTGGGCATCAAGTAAGATAATGTTTTGAAAGCACAAACAGCAGGAGTTGGTAAACCTTGGTCCCTTTCTCCACTCAACTCCATCAAAACTCCATGGTGAGAAAGCAGGGCCTAAGCATTCTTTATGAAGGGGCAGCGCCTGACCCTGCCTGTGGACTGGTGGCATGTCTTTTGGGAAAAGAAAAGGACACGCATATCGGCAACTCTGGTGAGAAGTTTAGCAATAAGATAGAAAGTAATTATTTTGTTCCCTTCAAGAATAGAAAGGTACCCTTGGTGTTAGTTGAGCTCTGCCACATGTAACCCTGCCCATGTTGTGACTTAAAGGAGCTGTATGTCACGCTGACAATGTATGCGCATCAGCCTCTTATTTTTATTTTACTTAGCATGCTTTGGGGGGATTTTTCATGCTTTTTGGGTGAATGTGCTATGATGACTCCTCGTTTCCCCCTCTAAGTCCATGTTCAGGGCATTGATCCTGTCCAGGAACAAAAGCACTGGGAGAGAGCACAGCTAAAAGTCCAGTGTCAGTTCTACCAATGACAACTGTTTCCTGACACTCCCATCAGTGCCCCGAGAGACAAAGAGGACACATTTCTGTACCCTTCATTTTATTTTTGCAAGCAGAGAGAACATTGCTCTTGTAGGAACCTGCTCTGGCCTACTGGAGCCGAGGTGGTAGCAGGGAAAGGTTGTGTTCTCAGTGATGCTCCAAGGATCCACTGGCACCCGGAGCCCCAGTGCAGCTGGAGCAGAGCTGAGACTAGGGTGAGCAAGTGAGAGATTCACCTTAGGAGCAAAATTTAAGGGGGTGCCAAAAAACTCAACAATTCAATACCTTAAAATTTCAAAGTTAATGCACGATTAGAAATCCATGGTGAACACAAAAGCAAAATTGTCAATAAAGACAGGCCCCTACCCTGCACTTGCCAATTTAGTCTCCCTCGTCTCCCTCTGATCCCTGCCTGGTGGCTGTGGTCCCCTTCATGCCAGCCTGCTTCTGATCGTAGGGCTGAGAGGAAACCGCACCACTCGGCTGGGCCTGCATCCTTCTTTGGACCCCAGATGGGCAACAAAACCTGAAATGTCAAGGGTAGAAGCTTCCAGGCCAGTGGATACATATAATTTATAGTGTGTTCAAGAGTTTCTTAGACTTCCATTTAAATGCAATTTGGCCAAGTTATCTTACAAGAAGGCAAACCCTTATTAAAAAAGCAAATAATCAACTCTACTAACTTAATATATTTCATTACCTATTAATCTGATACATTTCAGAATGTGGTAACTGCAAAGTTTCCTATTGTGCTATGGAATTTGAAATAATATTTAAAGAACATTTTAATTAATGCTATGG